GACAAGATAATATCATCTTGTTCTGTGATAGTCAGAGCGCTTTGCATTTAGCGAAGAATCACTTTGTACGGGGGAAGGTGGAGAAAGGAAGTGTGTATATTCAGAAAATCTATACGGAGGCAAACATGATAGATATGTTGACAAAGCTAGTAAACAATAAAAAGTTCGTCTGGTGTCGATCTTTTATGGATCTAGGAGAGAAGTAAGCAACATGGAGATGACGAGGTAGAAAAGAAGAAGAAATACAACAAAAGTGGTTTTGAGTGGGAGAATGAAAAGTAGGCACCGTGTTTTGCTGAAAAATTAATTAACTGGGGGCCTCGCTATTTTGGAGTTTTCTCCATCCCTTTGCCTACATAAGGCAAGTGTAGAGCCTCGGTAATGTATCCCACAGCAAATCCAAAGCAGCAGATAAAAGAGAGAGAGAAAGGGAAAGAAAGAGAGAGTGAAATAAAATCCGGGTCTCTCCTATTTTTTTGAGTTTTTCCTCTTTATTTCTGAGTATGTAATTTCTCCTGTAAAAGAGAGAATTATTCTTATATTCTCCTTATAACAGAGAGAAGTGTTGTAATTCCTTAACAGTCGGTATAAATCCCTCTACCGTTCGCCCGTTGACGTAGGCACTCTGCCGAACCACGTAAATTTTCGGTGTCCTATTATTTATTTTTCTCATCTCAATTTAGTTGTCTAACAGTGATATATCTACTCCGATCCTAACAACTAGTTGGTCAACGTGAGACAAGAATACCACTCTCATAGAATACAAATTATAGTAACGATAATTTTTTGCAAATCAAACTCTCTTGGATAACTTTCGATCTGTGTGAATGAATTGAAAAGTATAAAACTTTGTGTTCAAACTATGTGCTACTTCAAACTATGTATCTATATGTATGTATGTATGTATATATGTATGCATGTATGTATGAATCTACACATGTATATATGTGTATCCGTTTATATAGTGTATATGTGTTGTGTATATATGTGTGTCTAATTATTTTTTTGATTTTTTATATTTTTTAAGAAAAATCGCTTATAAATACCTAAACTTTTACAAAAATTCCACATAAATATCTAAACTATAAAAATTTTATATAGATACCTTAATTTTTCTAAAATCCCACACAAATACCTAGACTTCTGAAAAACTCTAAAATAAACTCAAAATTCGTTAATGACATTACCTATTTTTATTTAAAAATACCTGAAATTTATATTTATTTGAAATTTTTTTCAAAATTCTAGGTATTTATATATGATTTTAATTTAAAAGTTCAGGTACTTATGTAAAAGTTTTATAGTTCAGATATTTATGTGAGATTTTCATAAAAGTTTAGGTATTTATATGTTATTTTTCTATTTTTTATTATTTATAATTTTCTTATTTTTTACTAATTTTAAATCGAATTCGATGATGTGAAATTAATTAATAATGTTATATGATGACGTAACATTTTTTAACTCGTGGCACTAACGTGGATAGATTTCAGTTTACTATTATGACAACATTACGTTTTATATGGGGTTTTGTAAGAAATTACCATATTTTTTAAAATTTCAAATACATGTATGTAGGGAATTTAAAAAGTACAAATTTTATTGGCGATATTCCTATAATTTTATTTTTATTGAGTATTTGGTCTAATTATGAATACAAAAAATGTTGTTTATACGATATTCGTAGATATCCGATGTTCAATAGTGAGGACGTAATCTGCGAATATCGAAAGATGAAATTGAGATACTTCTTATGTAAAACTCGTGAAATCGAAAACAACATCAATTATCGATTATCCATGCCAATTATTTTTATTTAGTATACGAACATGTTGTTTATATGATATTCGTGGATATCCGATGTTCAAAAGCGAGGACACGATCTACGAATTTCGAGAGTCGAATTCTTATGTGAAACCGAAAACAATATCGTTTATCTGTGCCGATATTGTTTTTAAATCAGCGTTACAAGCCCGTTGATTATAAATTAGATTAATATCATCATTTCATAGATTACATGCGCCTGGGTAACATGTTCGCGATAACAAGGGTGATTCCACAAACATACCCGATATACTCGCTGCTCTTCACAACCGAAGGATCGGCTTTGACGTTCTTGAGGTCGTCTAGACATGAGTCAGGACCATCCATAGCAGCCGAAACCTTGACGTTCACGCTCACGGGATCCCCAGCCGCCAGATGCTCCTTGGCTTCGTCCAGGGTGTCGACAACCGATTCGTAATTGTCTAAGCACGATGTATAGGCCTGCTTTGATTTCGGGTCGGTTGTCTTCTCGACAATGGACTGGATCCTCTTAAATGTCTTTGATGCACTTGTTTGCGCCGAATCAATAGCGATCTTCGCAACAGCGGGAAGGCCGGCGGCCAGGATCTTTGGGTTGGACTTTAGGAATTTCAGACAGAAAGATGGGTTTAACGTTTTGCCGCATATCGCGTTTATGTCTGCGGCCGTTATTGCGTATGAGGAATCGATTAATAGAAGGAACATCAGAGAAGACAGGAAAGCATTGTTCGTAGAGTATGATGCCGCCATACTTGTTCCTTGTGTTTTTCAAACTTGTGTGAGATGATGGAGAGATGAGGGTTGCATGTATATTTGTACATGTTTGGTCAGGTGGTTGACTAAATATAGAGAGAGACCGTTGTTCTGTTGTTTTTGAGAAGTAAAAGACAGTTTTCTCATTCTTGGCATAAACTCATAAAATAGTTATTCGTGTAACGAATTCGATTGTTTTAGTTTTATATAAAAAAAAATTTTGACATTAGGTTGCCATTTATTTTGAGGTGCTAATAAAGAACATAATGGTAATACACCATAATAAGTGTTTATAATCTTTAGTTATTTTAATTATCTTAAATATTATCTTTTATATGGGGATTATAAGAAGAAACATTGTAGTAATCGAGAGTAGAGTTTTTGGAAGATCTGCTTTTTAGGTTAAGCAAAACCTGCCGAAGAGAATAATATATAAAATTTACACTTAAAAAAAAAGCATTGAGCTTATGGTTTTAAAAGTATATATAATATATCTAGAATTAAAAAAAAATTGTCATTCTTCTTTTTCACAGGTTCGAAGAGAGCAGGATAAACCAAAATTTGATTTAAATTAGAGGTGGGCATTTCGGAATTCATTTCAGAATTTTTCGATTCGGGAATGGTTTATTCAGTAATCTAAAATTTATACCAAATTAGTAACATATATTATTCGATTCGGTTCGGTTCCGGTTTAGATACGGTTCGCTTTCAATTTTTGTTAAAAAAAATTAGATTTTCTTAAAAAAAATTCGATTTTTCGAGAATTTTATAAAGTTCGATTCGGTTTAGTTTGGTTTACAGAAATTTAATTCTATAAAAAATATAACGTTCGAAAATTTTGAATGATACGATTCAAAAAAAATACCGAGATTTTCGAACATCTGTTTAAATATACTAAACCAAAGCTCAACGAGCTTGAATGTTAATGGGGAGAATAACTATTCTACCCTCAGTGAAGCGGCATTTTTGTCGGTCGAAACCCTCCAGGTGAGAACCGGAGGATTCCTTCGTCTTTTGCTGTTCTTTTTCTCTTCCACGAGATCTTTGGCAAGTTATCCTGCAATATAGAACGCCCAAAAAAAAAAGAAATGTTTCTAACAAATATAATTGAGACTTAACATTGAGACTTGTTAAGTCGTATTGCATTTTTCTTTCGTCTTATTATTTATACATTGGAAAATATTTTTATACTAACAAATAATCTAAGAAGCAACCTCTAATAAATCTTAAATATATACTAAATTAAACACCGAAAAGTGCATGCTATTGGAATGTGTTTTCATTTCTTTTGGACATTTACTAACTTAAATTGTGGGATAAAACCCATATAATTGCTAAATTTGTAAACTGATGAAAAACTAATTACTAAACTTTTCGTTTAACATATTTATTTTCAAACTTATAAAATGTGTCATTATAATTTCAAAACTTGTTAATTGGCAACATCAAAAATCTCGACGATATTTATTGATAAATAATTTTGGGAATTATAATGACACATTTTGCAAGTTTGGAAATAAATTTGTCCAACAATAAGTTTATGAATTAGTTTTTCACCATTTTACAAGATAAGGAATTTTTATAGGTTTTATCCAATTTTTTTGTCACTTCCCCATTTTTTATTTGGTAAAGCTATGCAATCCACCGATCATCCTAAATAATAAAATATAGAGAATAAGAACATTAAATGTGTGAATTCAACGATTTTACAGATACGCGTTCATCTTAACGATTGCTTGCAGAACTATATGAGTTAATGGAAATGAGAGAACGTAACGAACAATGATAAAAACCGTTTTAAATCGCAAAAGAACAGAAGGTTACTAGTAGTAGACATATATATTTCGGATGATAGGTGGGGCATAGTTTTGAACCATTTCATGGCATCTAGTAAGTGCAGATATATCGACCGTTCCTGTAACATTCTTCGTTGATTTTGCGTTTTAATGGAGAATGGTATTAGAGGGTTTACGCTCGATATATACGATTTCCAAAACGATGTATGGTTGTGCCATTCGTACGGAGGAAATTGCTTCAACTACACTACCTAAAGAGTAATATTTTGATTCAACCCTTTTCCTGTGTTAATCTCTCTACTATTAATTCCTTCGTTCACTTTCGTTCGATGACTTTCTCGAATCATATCTTTTCTTTTACAGGAAGCTCCAACCACATTCAACAAAACTGAAGTTGGTGAGCGAAACAATGAATATAATATGCTGATTTATTTTCTCTTGAGATCAACGATCTCAATCCATTAAATTCACCTTTCATATTGCTTGCCCCATCATAGCCTTGTCCTTTGACTTTTTTTAAACTCAAACCATGTTTAGCAAACAAAGAATCAATGGCAGACATCAGAGATAAAGCAGATGTTTCTTTCACATGAACAAGATCAATAAATCTCTCTTTCACTATCCCGTTCTTGTCAACAAAACGAAAAACTACTGCCATCTGCTCCTTGTCAGAAACATCACTAGACTCATCCACCAGCAATCCAAATACATCATGTCAACCACATTCAACAAAACTGAAGTTGGTGAGCGAAACAATGAATATAATATGCTGATTTATTTTCTCTTGAGATCAACGATCTCAATCCATTAAATTCACCTTTCATATTGCTTGCCCCATCATAGCCTTGTCCTTTGACTTTTTTTAAACTCAAACCATGTTTAGCAAACAAAGAATCAATGGCAGACATCAGAGATAAAGCAGATGTTTCTTTCACATGAACAAGATCAATAAATCTCTCTTTCACTATCCCGTTCTTGTCAACAAAACGAAAAACTACTGCCATCTGCTCCTTGTCAGAAACATCACTAGACTCATCCACCAGCAATCCAAATACATCATGTCCAATCTCCTGAATTATGTCTTGGGTTATTTGTTCTGCAAAACATTGTACAATATCTTTCTGGATTTTTGGAGAAACCATCTGACTATTCCCCGGAGCATTCTTCAAAACAACCTTACTCAAACCTTCATTTTGTTCTGCAGTATATTTGACAAGTTCCAGAAAATTTCCTTTATTATCAGAAATTTCTAACTCATCGTGGCCTCGAAATGGTAGTCCTTGATTCAACAAATATCTAGAAGAACTAATTGAGGCATTCAACCGAATACGATACTCGTTTTTCATCGTATCACTTTGCTTATGCATAGCATGTATGATAGATTGACTTTGCCTCATCAAATCATCACTCTTTTTGATGGGTCGCACGGGGACCTCGAGCAACGGTTCACAACCGGTCTCGGGTCTGGTCCGCGGGTTTGCGCAGCGGAATTGGCGTTCAAAACGATTTTGAACCGCCCACGGACCATGGTTTCGGTGAAGAACCTCTTGGAGAGTAGAACTAACCTTTTGATTCCGAATCAGAAGGTTGTTGTAGATCACAGCTAGGTGTTGAAGCAGCCAACACCCTCTTGAGTAGTCCACACCCTTGGGATGGTTTCCAACACTTGGAAACTTGCTTGCTAGAGCTTGAAGAGATCAAATCTCTTGTGTATGATCTCAAGAACAATTTCTTGAGTTTGGGAGAGTTGCAGAGCAGTCTTGGCTCTTCTGGAGGTTAAGAGTCGGGTTAAGAATGATCCAAATCATTCCTCACGCGTCCCTACCAAGAAAAGCCGAGATTTTCGCAATTTGGTGTTTTCAGACGTCCGGTCCGCCGGACCAGGAGCTGGTCCGCCGGACCAGACGAGTAAAACACGCGGTTTAGTTCGGTCATGGTCTTGGTCAGCGGCTGACCAACTCTTGGTCAGCCGGACCAAGACGCCTTATGCCGACAGTCGAGAACGTTCTGCGATCCGGCGGACCAGACTCTTGGTCCGCCGGACCAGCCAAGCTCCGGACCAAGAGATTTGGTCCGCCTGACTTGCCGGTCCGGCGGACCAAGATTTCGGTCCGCCGGACCAGCCGAACTCCGACCCAGCTCGTCCTGCTCCGTCTGACTGCGCTGGTCCGGCTGACCAATTCTTGTCAGCTCCGGACCAGACAGTGTATTTCGGAGAAATTTCTCCGTTTCGCCAAGTGTGTCTGGTCCGGCTGACCAACACTTGGTCAGCTCCGGACCAGACCTCAAAGACCAAGAAAAAATCCGATTTTTCCGTCCGTGTGATCCCGTCCATACACGTCCATCCCGTATGTGTGTGACCCTTTAGGCTCCTCCGAATACGGCAGTAAACGCGAGATCCAATCTCGCTTTACTAATCATAAGCGGTCTCTAGCAAGACATTATGATTACCCGTATCGGAAAGAGTTAGATGTGATCTAACCGAAAAGCCAGAGATAGCTCAAACGATGATCCTCTTTGTCTCACGATATCATAATCGAACTCATAGTTCGAATGCTTTGTCGTATCCCGAGTAGACTGTTAGAGATAGATGACATTCATCTATAGTGTGGCCACACATTTCCACAGTCTCACTCCTACGACGGGCCCAAGCGATATCTCTCTCTTTTGAGAGGGACAAAGTTCCATCTTGACTATCTATTATCCAATGCATGATTCGTAATGTACCCGAGCCCCGTCTTTATAGTCGTCCGGTTAAAGACGACGTTTGACGCAGTCAAAGTACATTACTCGTCATGATGGATACAATAGATATCTCAGGTCTGAGGATCTAAAGTGAACCATCAAGTGAGATTCAAGTCATGGATTATATCCAATAGACAATCTCACGCGAGTCATCCAGTCACTTGTTCCAAACAAGTACCCATGACCGTAATCCGTATCCAATACGGATGATCATCACTATGATCATCGATTACGCCTCATGTTAGTCTTAATTCATCATTGTTCCCACAATGACAAACGACTAAGGAATTCAGGATCGTTCGTAACGATCCAGGGATTATCATTATTTATCAAATATGCAAAATAAATAATGAATAAATAATGTATTCATCTAATAAATACATCGTATCATACATAGTTCTCATATCGTATGATCATCCTAGAGCATTACATCCTTCACTTTTTGCGTGCATTATTATGAAAACTATTGACATCATCCACATGAGAAGCCAACCTCTCGGTTTTATTCCAACTTGAAAAACCGTCTGACACAAAAGCATCATTCCCAACTTGTTCTCTAAACAAATAGCAACACAAGCAAAATGCTTTATCCTTCTTTATGCTATATTCTAACCAATCACTGTATTGGTCAAACCAAGCTGGATTAAATCGCCTCAATTTATTTCCTATCATCTTCTTTGGAAAATCATGACCACGTGGTTGACAAGGTCCCCTAATCAAATACTTGCGCCTTATCTCATCTCTCTGGTTAGGATGATACTCTAATATTTTTTTTCTATCAGCTGGATCCGAAGGCAAATCATCCAAATCAATTTTTTCAGGTATTGAGAGACTAACCTGAGAATTTGATACATTCTCGATTGGAATTTCACCATTATTTTGAGATATCGATGCAAAATTTCTTTTGAGAAATTTATCCATTAATTTTCCTGTCAAATCAAATACAAAAATAAATAAATATATAATATTAAATTAATTCGTATGATTAAATCATACATAAAAACAGATAAACAAATAAAAACTAAAATCATAAACGTACCTTTGATATCAGTATTGCTACTTTGTTTATTTTTTGATCGAATGGGAGAAAGAGCGAAAGAGAGAAAGGGGAGGAGAGAGAAAAATAAAAAATATAAAATAATGATATAAAAATTATGACGGCGTGACCTAAACCTAAAAAGTAATTAAATAAAAGTGGAGACATGTTTAAGAAAAATATTCAAAAATCTAAATAAAAGGGGGCCCACATTAAAAATATGAGGGGGCACGTTTGGTTTCTTATTAAAATCTATAAAAATTTATAACTAAATTATTTTTTTTTAAATATAGCTATGGGGGCATGGGACCCCATTCACATGTATGTAAGTCCGCCCCTGCTATCTATGTAGGTATTTCTACTTTATAATTTTATGTGAATATATACCACACACTGGTTACAAAGAGATTTTAAGAAACCATACACAAATTTGGTTTATACGTAGTTATTTAATTTACATGGTGAAGGAATATATTAAGCCCCTCGGTACTGCAGTATATATATATATATATGCTAAATGTGTAATGTATATGTTTACATGTACATACATGTTATATAATTTCAAAACGTATCTCTTTGGACATCAACCTGCGATCCCTGTTCTGAAAGAGTTCCAAGTGTTTCTAGAGAAGAACACTCAAGACATCGTAACGATCATCATCGAAGATTACGTGAAATCGCCCAACGGACTCACCAGAGTATTCAACGATACTGGGCTAACAGTCTCACTTTATTACACAACACAATTACATACACACACATCACATTTTTACTCTCGTGAGAGAGGATTACAGAACCTTATCTAAATTAACCGAACCATATAACAATAACTGTTTCATCAAATGTCTCTTGCTTTAGCTTCTCCAACGATTCTTCTGCGTCTTCAGATTTCATCATTCTCGAGTCAAATCTCTAACACTCCTCCTTGACTCGAGAACTCTTGCACATCGCAAACCTTAGCTTTCAAGCTTCGGCGCAAATTTTTTGTCTTCACAACAATCCATTTTCTCGAGTGCAACTCTACCCCATCTCGAGATCCACATGCGTTTATCGATTGCATCTTTGCCCCTTCTCGAATACGCAACTTTCGGGTTTACCTAATTGAGGCATAAACCCATATCAACCTTGCATCAATCTTTTTCGCTTCCTTTCTTGAAGCTTCAACACTATCTTCATGCTCGGAGTGGCAAACTCTTCCTCCATCAAAGTCTCATTCGATCCGAAGTCCCAGATCCTCTTCTCAAGGGAACCGACAACAATTGTGACGTCTATTCGTCTTCAAACCATTGCTCGTCTTTCCACTCTTCATCTTCACATGGGAACCCGACAACATGTGTTCTCTGGGAGAGTTTTGTCTCTCTTTGCTTGAACACACAACCACCATTAACGCTTATGTTTTTTTTATTGCTCTTTTAGCAATCGACAAACTTTTCATCTTGTTGAGTGGAATCTTCACTATCGTCAAAACCTACGTGCCCACTTTAACATATTTCCAAAAAAAAACACTTTTCCCAAATAATGAATCTTCCAATGATGTGAAAGAACCCATTCATCCTTGCAACAAAACAACGTCTTCTTCCTCTTCATTCTCACTGCTCTCTCTCTTAACTTGCTGAAACTTTATCTGGGCCCTCCTTCATATCCTCAATACTTTGTTCTCCGATGCTGATAGATCCAACGACACCCATATCTTCATCTTCTTCTTCTGTTGTCACTGTGACCACTGACCGGAATCTTCCATTTCTGCCACGACGTCCAAACGAAACACCACAGATCCCTAAGATCATTTTTGCTCTGATACCATGTAATCTTTTCACAAATTAAACACTCTCACTTTATTAACAACACAATTACATACACACACATCACATTTTTACTCTCGTAAGAGATAATTACAGAAAAAATCTCTGTAGTAGTTTCCCCAATCAATCAATACAGCCTTTTAAAGACAAATTAGTAATTGAAAACGGTTTTGGAAAAACTATAAAACCTTATCTAAATTATCCGAACCATACAACAATAATTGTTTCACCAAATGTCTTTTGCTTCAGCTTCTCCAACGATTCTTCTGCGTGTTCAAATTTCATCATTCTCGAGTCAAATCTCTAACATCTTTCTAGGGTTTATCTTAGATTCTATAGTGTTGGTTTAAATCTTATTTACAAGACAAGACTCCTTATACTAGATGAAGCAACAAAAAGCCAAATAAAGATTCATGAGATTGATTATATTTGTATCAATCATATGTTATGTTATAATATATCAAAGTTATACATTGCAGATGGAAATGAGGGGATGAAGCATGGAATGTGCATAAACAGACCAGAGTCATTACCAATGAACACGAAAACAAGATCACTTGTTCTTGTGAACCATTTCCCGGATGCCCCTGAATTCCTCACAGCTTGCAGACATAACCCGGCTCCTCTCATGGGCGCTGTCAAAGCATGTTATGAGGCATCCGGACAACGTTGGCCCAACTTCATCTCCGTTGATTTCTATAAGGTGTGTTGTAGTAATTTAGGTTCTTGTTTACTTCCTAAGTTCTTATTTTTTTTCCAGAAAATCTAAACCCTAAAACCTAACTTAAGCACTACATTCTAAAAGTGTAAAACCCAAAACCCAAAATTCTAAAAACGTAAAACTAATATGGAAAAAATGTAGATGTGAAGAAAAAGTTTAAAAATAGTTTTTTTGGCAATATCGCAAAAAAATATAAACTATTTAAATTTGGTATAAAAATATATGAACTTCTAATTTTGTATTAAAATACATAAGCTTGAAATTTTTCTGTGTAAATCCACCAAAAAACTAAATTCAATTTTTTTTTTGTAAATGTGGCTATATACGAAAATTCAAAATTTGTGTATTTTTATACATTTTTGAGTGGATTTATAGGAAAGTTTTCAAAGTTTGTATTTTTCTTTACAAAATAAAACATTTACATACTTATTTATCACATTTTAAAAGTTCATATTTTTTTTGGCGATACTTCCTACTTTTCTTTTGTTTATTTTAGAAAATCTCTGTTAATTAATTAAATAGAATGTTAAAGTGAAGTATCAACTCGCTCTTTACTTATGTGTACGCATTGATGCTATAGAAAGTGATGGAGGAGGAGCTTCACAAGCAGTAGATGTTGCAAATGGTCATCTTGTTTGTGGTTGCGACAACATTGCTGCTTGCATGGTAAAGTTTCTATTAATTATATATTTACATGGTTTATATTTAGATAACAATAATAATGGTCAAAGTTTATATATATGCATCTTTTTTTTTGTAAAAGGTTTGTGATTCCATTCCATCAAACTTTTTACAAAACGGCTTTTCGACCACTTACGTGAATAACCAACATACCCAAAAGAAGGAAATATTCAAAGATACATTTTTTTTTACTAAAACTAGTTATACTCCAAATTTGATCATGTGACCATAATAACAATATGTTTATATGATGGTCACATTGATTATAATGTTAAATTTATTACGGTTTCATCAAAATATTAGTCTGATATTTAAGGTGTATACATGATTATTTATTGTGATCACAATAAATTTAACGTTATAATATTTGTGACTACCATATGACTATATTGTCATTCTAATCATATGATCATATCCGGCGAATTGTTTATAAGTAGTTTTAGGAAAAGGAGAATATTTTAGATAATACCCTACAAAAAAGAGGCATTATGTTGTTACAAAACGACTTTTTTGGTAAAGGTATATGCCTTTTTTCTACTACAAAAGGACATAATAGATGAAATACGCGATTTACCGTTTATTAGTTAGAACGTTTTATTGTGAGTGAAAGATATTTAGTCGATCCCAATTGAAGTAGGAGCGTTATAGTTCCTTGGTTAAACTCTTATATATTTACATATTTTTTGTGAATGCTTATAAGAAATTTCTTCCATAACGAAACCCTCATTTTTGGTCCTTTCGATTGTTTTTTCATATATATATATATATATATATACTACTATTTATGTGCTTACAACTTAATAATGTGGTGTCCATATTTGCAGGAGAACATGACGAAGGGAACATGTGCAAAGCAAGAAGCATCAGAGCAGAGTGCACTCGTGACAATTGCTAAACTAACTGCCCAAGCTTCGAATACCAAACCGGCCCAACTTTATATAAACATTAGTCTTAATCACTCAGAATAGTTTATATAAAACTTAGTGATAAAACCACACTAATACGTTCTATTTTTATTCATAATATTATTGGTGGTTGATAACACGTATTTCGTGTGATGTTTTGATATAGGATGTCTAGCTTATTTCATTCGATTTTACATATTTGTAGACATTTTAGAGCACATTTGGTTTCGATATTGGTTGGTTGTGTTATTTGGTGTTTAAACAGGAATCCACGCATAAAGAGAGTAAAAGGAGTGGAAAACATGGATTAGGAAACATCACGGACAAACCAGGAACATTTGGAGTTGTTTCGGAGAAAACGTGAAGCTCAGAAACGTCAGATCTTGCAAGTCCAATAACTTTCACTCTACAAGTCCAAATCATGCATTCTCTACGTCATTGAAAAGTTCTATTCGATATCTACGCATAGACGCTATCATCCAAATCCGATATCGGAGCATAAAGTTATGAGCAAATTTGTGAAGTCTGTCAAAACTGTTAAGTGACACGATCGTGTCACTTTCAGCCACACGATCGGATCACTTACCAGATTTTGGAAATATTCTGAATTTTGGCCCAGAAAAAGACTATATAGGGTTAGCCTCCAAGGTCGAAGATATTCAGACGTTTGACAGAAAATACACCCTAGAGCACATAGAAGGGGGAGATTATCAAGAGGCAAGAGATCAGAGTAGAAGAGGGAGATTACGAAGCCGGAAAATCGACTAAGCATTCTTCCTTTCTTCTATTTTACGATGTTTTGTATTATTGATATGAACCCTGACGTCTCGATGTTTAGCGAGTAGTTCCGTAGCTGTAGGTTAGGGATTTGTTATGTAGGGATATTTGGTTTTTAATTCCAGATTTTGTGGATTTATTATTCCATTCAGTTTATTAAATTGTTCTTAATGCTTTTAATCTCTTTGGCCACTTGGTTGAATGAACTTAGGGTTTTAATTCACATAGACATATGAGATTCTAACCGAGAAATAATTCAATAAATAGAACAGGTGTTAAATCGAGAGATGGATATTTGCCTAGGGATTATGATAGCATTCGTTCATGCATCCAGGGTTTTAGACTATTGAATCGAGAGATTAGTAGGATAAAGCCTGGATAGTGAGATTAGACTTGAGAGAGTTAATCTCTACTTTAGAGCTTGAATTCCCTAAATTGGATAAATAAACCACTAAGTTTGCATCTTTTGAAAGATCCTTGCATGTAAGCAATCCCGAAGCCTGCAGTGTTTCATCATTCATAGTTTACAACCGTTTTATCGTTCGCTTTGCTACATTCTCACACCCACATTATTTTCTCTGGATTTAGATTTAGATTACGATTCGATTTCTTTGTCTACTTTTGTCCCTGTGTTCGACCCTAGTTACTATAATCGAACTGTACACTTGCGGTATTTGTTGAGTGTAGGATATTATTACTTGATTAAATTTATACACCTAGATTTGCGACATCAAGTTTTTGGCGCCTTTGCCGGGGACAATTTAGGTAACAGGATTAGATCCTATCTAGTCTGGGTCTTGTTTGTTTTTTTTTCTTATGTGATTTCTCACGTTTTCTTCATTTGTTGTTATTTTTTGTCTGGTGCACAGGTTTTTCTAGTGCATGACCAGGAGTGCTGGGACATCGTACCTAGTACCTCTTGATCGTGAGTTTGAAAGGACCGTTAGATACATCCGACGTCAATGAAGACAAATGGAGAACGACCGAGATTTTGCTCTTCCCGATGGTGCTGAGGGCAATGATGACTCAACCTTTTCCCAGTACAACACGCATAAGCACACTGAGCTTTTGGCTGATATTCGACTATCGGCCATCGACATGTCTAGTTTTGAGCTGAACCCGTCTACTATTCAGATGTTGGGCAATAATGCTTTCCGGGGTAGGCCAAACGAAGACCCGAATGCACATCTAAGTCGCTTTAAGATGATGTGTCATTCTATCAAGAGAGATAACAGGGTGACAGGGAATACACTCCGATTGATTGCTTTCCCCTGGACTCTCTTGGATGCTGCTTTGGAATGGTGTTATGATCTGATACCTGATTCCATCCATACTTGGGAACAACTGGAAGTACATTTTATGTCAAAAAAAATTTCAGCTCACCGCACCTAAGCAGCTCTTTCTGGCATTCATTCATTCAAGTAGGATCATGGGGAATGTCTTTATGACGCTTGAAAGAGGTACAAAGGATATCATAAGTCTTGCCCTCATCACGGGCTTGACAAGAACTATCTCTTTGGTTCGCATGTCCTCATCGAAATAAAAGAGTTACTCGTACATGTCATCTTTTTATGCCACGAAAAGCCTTTTGGAAGGGTAATTTACAGGAACAACCGAAATAAAAGATGACCTTCACGACGTAACTCTTTTCACGACACGACCTGCATTTTCGTAGACTTTCCACAAGAGTTGCAGGTCACGTAACGAACGTCAGGTCTGTATGCCCTTTTTCTTGGTTTATATGTCTCTATAGTTACATGCACGTCTTCAGGTCATATTCGAGGTCTAGAATATAACCTGCATATCACCTGTAATTGTAAAATATAACCTGCCTATCTGTCATTCTAGAATATGACCTGCCAAGTTGTTGTCTCCGTTTGAACTGTAACATAGAGTATGATTTTCATCTGTATAAATGAACTAAATTTACGACATGGACCACCACAGAACATTTCTCAACAGTATACGATCTACCACTCCTGTATCTCAATGAATTAAATTTTATGTCCATCACTCCAAATGCACAACCACACCTATTAATTAAAATTAAATCAGGATTTAATTGTTTTACAAAATCAACCAAACGTTCCAACTACCCCCTCTTTGCACTGTGATCGGACTCCACATGCATTTAGGTAACCGACCTAATTTTTTTCGCTATAAAAGAAACTCATTCGAGGAAAAATTCTCAGAAGCACATTCGAGGAAAAAATCTCTAGAAAAGTAGTGAACCAGAAAGAGTTTTTAGATAACTATTGGTCGTAGTGATAATTTGCATCGAACAGTCGTATATCGTAAAGTTGAATGAGTAGTCATATCGAACAGTCATAGATCGTACAGTTAAGACTGTATGTAATAACACGCGTGTATGTGATGTGGATGTCGAACATATGGATTGAGTAGTCGTATCGAACAGTAGTAGTCAGTCATAGGGGAAACACGCTTGTATGCTCGTGGCCTTCCGCAGCGGCCATATATGACTCTGCCTTTTAGTATCTGTCTAGCTTTTAATACGACGGTTGAAATCCCAATGCAACAGGTGCAGGCCAATCGCGACATGATTTTGCATGCAGGTCACTTTAGTTAAAGGGCACTTCTCGCAGGACATGCATATCCTTTTTTTTTTGGAAAACTTCGTGTTTTGCAGGACTAACATTGGTAGTGTACTATTCATATTTATTTTGTAGAAGTTGCCTTTGTTGTTTCTAAATTCTACCTGCGTTTAATAGATCACTTATGAGGCATGCATGTCACTTTAAATAGGGTTGTAATCCCAATTAATGGGTTGCAGATAAGTCACCACAATATTTAGTATGCAGGTCACTTTTATTAAAAAGGGCACGTCCATCAGGTCTTGGGAAATATTTCGCAGGACATGCATTTGGCGGGATTTTTTTGGTTCAAGACTACTTTTTAGGGTTTCGGACATTGTTATCTCTTCGACCTACTTTTTACTTTCAGGGTTTCAGACATTATTATCTTTCGATAGTGTATCCTTTTTTTTGTCCAGTTTTGTTCTTTTGGGGGCATCATTTGCAACATTTTCCAGCCCATCTCGTATTCATCCCTGTATAGTCACTAAATTCATTTCTCTATCATCACTCTCTGCTCTTTCTACCAGATCTAAACAGTTAAGGTAGCAAATCACCTTTTAGAAGCTTATTTCATACTAATGCTCATATAGATTGCATCGTAATCTGCACGGCAGGTTAAATTCATGCATGGCAGGTTAAGTGTAGGAACGATACACGAATATAACTGCAATCAGGTGGAATTATGATTCTGTGCGTTCTTGTTTACTCTTCAGTAAATTTTCTCCATATTTCGTTCTGTTGGTTCGTCATTTGTAACCTATTCCCCCGTATTCATTCCATATTATGATTCTGTGCGTTCTTGTTCACTTTACTGTAAATTTTCTCCATATTTCGTTCTGTTGGTTCGTCATTTGACACCTTATCGCTCTTTCGACCAGATCTATCCTTTTAAGGTACTACTAATTCACCTTTCTACATCGTAGTTTTCGTTTCTTCTTGATAGGTTGAGAATCATCTTTCTTCAGCGAATACCTTCATATCCTTCCCCGCATGTTATATTCCTTCTTGCATTTCTGCATGGCAGGTTATGTTCTTTCATGGCAGGTTATTTTCGGTTGATAGGTTGTTTTTTTTTTCGTTTTTTTGTTCATGCAGATGGAATTATATTCTGTTTTCGGTAAATGGGAAGCTAGACAGTTTATTGTGGGGATATATCCAATCTACCCTTTGACTGCTGCAAGGACTTCTCTACCTACCCTTCAAAATCCAAATTAAAAAAAAAATGGGTAGAAGTGACGCAAAGACCAATTATACCCTCAAATTTTAATCAAAAGACGAAAAAACCAAATTAAAATTTAAATTAAATAAAAATAACGGTTCTCTCTCTTTCATACATCAGTCCACGTTCGCTCTCTCTCCTCACTGTCGCCATTTGCCTCTCTCTCCTAACTCTCGACATCTCCTCCGTCTGTCTTTCGAAACCGCCGGTTTTGTGGCAAAAAACCGTCGATTTAAGCCGCGATTTTCCTCTCATAAGTCTCTGTCTTTACTCTCCTCAGATTCGAAGCACAAAGAAGGAAGAAAATGGCTTCTACGTCAGTGGTTCACTCATCTTCGTCAGCATCTTCGAACGAGACCGATTCTCGAATCCAAATCGCGGAGTTAAATGAGCACATGGTACATCACTTCTCTTTTTCTCATAGTTGCACGATTTTGAAAGTTTATATGTTTCCTTATTGTTTTGCCGTGATG